AAAATAGATTACATATTTATTCTCTCTCTCATGTTGCGCGTTTAGGGTCGTGTTTTTCTGGTACGATAAGTATTAACTGCGGACTTAAATTTAAGAGTAAATTATATAAATGATCTTTTAATTATAGGATATTTTTTATTGAGTCTTTCGATTATTGAAAGTTACAAGATATTTTTTTGACTATAAGAAGTTGTTTTGTTGAGTCCATCGATTATTAAAAATTATAAAATAATCACCCAACTATTCTTATGTTTCAAACTCATCCTTTTATGTTACAAAATTGATAGTAATATGAGTTGGACGTCAACTTGAAATCTGAGATGTTAAAATCTGATCACAGTATCTCATGCGACTATCATATCTCAGTTAGTATACTGACGTCCAACTCAAACGAACGTCAATTTTTTATCAAAAAATGATGAATTTGAAACATGTGAATAGTCAGGTGATCAAGTTATAACTTTAAATAGTCGATGAAATTAACAAAACAACGTTATATAATCAGATTATCGTTTTATAACCTTCAATAGTAAAAAAAACTCAATAAATTAAACTCTATAATTGAAAGACGGTTTGTGTAAAACCCTAAATTTTACTTTATTAAAATCGTTATGGTTCCCTAAGAAAAAATTACCCACATTTTTATATTACCCTTTTATAATATTTGACGTACAAGGGTAGGTGTGTATATTTATGATATTTGTTAGAACAGAGCTTTAAGCCTCCCAATTCCCATCTATTTCTCAAAGTCGGTTGTTCAATCTTCTTCACTTCAATGCTCTTCTTCTCCAGGTAAACATGTTTGTGTTAATTTCATGATAAAATTTTACAATATTTGCTTCCTTTTCCAGAGATAACCCTAGATCTCTTTCTCTATACTCTTTCTATTTTATTTTACTTTTTCTGCATTAAAAAGTCGAGGATTGTGAAAAATAAAATGGGTATTTCTTGTTTTGAAGAATATTTTTTTCATGGCTTTGATTTCTTGTTCTGTAATATGCTTTCACATAGGATATTGATTCTGTTGATAAACCAGTTGTGAATGGAGAAAGCTAAAGTGGGTGTTCATTGTTTTTGAAAGGAAAAAAAAATTAAAATGGGAATTTTTTTTGGGTTCAAAGTGCTGGTCTTTGTGTGATTTTGGTTCACATAAAGGCTTGGTTTAGTGTATAAACAAAGTCTAGAATGGAGAAAAGTGAAGTGGGTGTTCACTGGTTTTGAAGAGAAAAATGGGATAATTTTGGTTCAAAGTGGCTGATTTTGTGTAACTTGTTGGTTTAGTGCATACAATAAGTGAAGAACTGACGTGGGTATTTTTCCTGGTTTTGTAGAGAAAGAGAGAATTTTTTGTTCAAAGTGGTGATCTTAGTGTAATTTTGGCATCTATCAGGAGCTTGGTGTAGTGCATAAACAAGCGGAGGTTAAGATTTTCGGTTCGAAGGACTGATCTCTGTGTAATTTTGGTTCACATTGGAGCTTTTGTTTAGTGATTTTGGTTGAAAGACTTGGTTTTTGTTTGAGATGGAAGGAGTGGCGGGTGGAAACACTGTTCAACCTAATTCAATCGGTAAATCCGAAGTTTTGGATGTAAAACCGGTGCGTACCTTGGTTCCTGTATTCCCTGAGCCATCTGAGGGTGCTCCGTATGTCTGCGTGTCTCCCAACGGCCCTTTCCCATCTGGTTTTACACCGTTTTTCCCCTTTAGTGGATCAACCCCAAGCCAAAATGGTGTCCATCCAACCGCCTCGCCAATTCAGCCATTTACTGTCGGACCTTCTAATGGCCAAAATTTATCACCAATGAATGCACACGGTAATCAAGGACACAAACCGGCTACACCAGCAGCTGCACGCAGTAATCAAGGACCCAAACCGGCTACACCACTGGATGCACATGGTAATCCTATCAAGAAAAGGGGAAGGGGAAGACCGAGGACTCGGTTTCCGTAGTAGCTGCCTACTTGGTAATTTCAATCCTTGAATTAGTGTATCCGATCAATAAGATGTTAACAGGGAATAAATTGGAAGAGGTGGTTTTGAGGTTTGATGCGATTAGGACAAAACTTAGCCAAGGGGAAGATGCGAACTAATCGAATTCCGACGTTCTTTTAACACGCAGACTTGAAAGCTGACAACCCAATGTGGAGCAAATGACTGCGGACTAATACGAAAAAGAGAACCGGGGATGTTTGATGTCGGGATCGCAGACCATCGTTTTCTTCCTAATGGAGTTATGTTAGAGGTAGAGCTAGTGGTGTTCTGTATTCGGAAAGTTTTTAGAGTATCATATCCTCGTGTTCGAATATGTGTAGGTTATCGAGTTCACTCGAGTACTTTTAGAAAAATGAAGAGTCGGAATAGTTGTAGACAAGCAAAACGTTTGGCTTTTCTAAAGACGTATGGGATCTATATGCTCATCCTTGTGTAATCATGCATCTTTATATGTATTTCATCTTATTAATTTGTAGCTTTGTATTAGGGATTTGGTTTATTTATTTTTCAAACTTTTTTTTTTTATGTATTTAGGGAATCGTATTTTTAACTTAATATCCAAATATGCATTATACTGGTAATCCAAATTATTAATAAAGGAAATTTGAAAAATATGAAGGGCTCAAAATACTTTACATTTTATTTATTTTTTATTACGACTAACAACGAATAAACGATTGTAAAGTAATAAGTAAGAATGACTAACGGCGAATAAACGATTGTAAAGTAATAAGTAAGAATGACTAACGGCGAATAAACGATTGTAAAGTAAGAATGACTAACGACGATGTCACGGTTCTAGGGTGAAAGAAAAGGAATTTAGATTAAAAAAGAAGAAAGGATTGAGAATAAGACTTTTTCATTCAATTTCATCATAAAAACCTCAATTACATATCAAATGCAAATATATATTCTAAGGCACTAACAGCTACCAATTATTTGTATGCATGTGTCAATGCTCGTGTCATGTAGTGTAAATGACTATTCTTTGTCTGGATTCTCTCCAACGACAACTCCTTGGCTATGAAGTATGAACCACTTCAGCTGACTCACCCGTCTGGACCTCTGTCCTGGGTTGACCCATATCTCCCTTCTCAACAACTTCATCAGATAACTTCTCAACTTCATTACCCATTTCATAACACATCTCTCCTTTTCCCTAATTCTCTTCATTTCTAATCCCTAATCGCGAATTTCCCAATTCATCAACCCTCGACGCCAATTCTTCCTCCTTTCACTTTTCCCTCGGCCGTGACATATGAATAAACGATTGTAAAGTGACAAGTAAGAAAGCATATATTTACATGAAAAAGTATACAAAAAAATTACGGGAAAGAATAATTTTATTATACTTAATGGCGTTATAAAATGATTATATAAGAGTATATTATACCATAAATTTTAGATATATTAAATTGTATGGACATTATATTCCAAGAACCTTTGCATCTATCATAAAATTTTCAATTAGTTTCTTTAATTTATTTATCCATAAAACCTATCATATCATAGAATTTTCTAGTTGAATTATTAGATTATAAACTTTAATTTTTTTAATTAATATTTGGGATAGTGGTTATATAAATTTCTTTTTGCAAGTGATGTTAATCAATTGATATGTGCTGTTAATTAATATGTGATGATCGAATAGCAATTAGGATTATATTTTTACTATAAACACATTAAATAATCACCGTTATTAAAATTATCACTTTGAACTATTATTACTTTATATATTTGCTTTTGCGGTAAGTTTTCGAGTTTTGAAATTAATAAAGGTGTTCATGATGAGTCAACATATAAACATTTTTTTACTTAATTTTTTTTTGTTTAGATCTGAATAAATATTCACTTTATTTTGATTTTTTATTGAATATTCTTAAGCAATTATTTTTGTCCGTTTTTATAGTACGATTGTTCATTTACTTTTATGATATTATTTTCTCTACCTTCATGGTAGTTTAACGTTTCATGTTACATTCATCACGATATACATCATGATCAGGAAAAAAACATTTCCTTTTACGATAATTTATCAGTACATTCAAACTCGTTCGCAAAACAATTGTCAAATAGGCTCTCTCAATCTCCATGCCTACACTAACATATATGTATAGTTTTGTTTAGAGACAATTTGTTTTTAATTTCTAGAGATATTTTGAAAGATGAAACATGTTTTCAAGAAAGGTATTGATTTTACTCTTCTTCATGCCCTTGAATTTTCATGTTAAAATGATATTGCCTTTATTGTACTTACATTGATGAAAACTTATTTTTTAAATTTTAAAAAACTAAACTAAAATAAAAAGATTTTTATAAAATATTTACTACATTGAATATCAAAACTATTTAGTATATTTAAATCTTGATGAAAGAAAATGAACATATTATATAAGATATACACCCATTTCTGACACATTCAAATATGATTCCAATAATATTGTTTCAAGCTATCATTTTATATTATTTGGAAACTATAAACTACATATTACTAATTAGTATTATTTAATTACAAATAAAACTCATTAAATGATCATAACAATTGAGGAGAATATTACTCTCTCTAAAAATCCTAAATTCAAACAAATTACATCTGAGGATGAATATATATTATCAATAATTAAGAAAGATTTTAAACAATCATATTATTCAAAAAAGAAGAAAAGTAATTAGTTATGGATATTTTAGTTTATAGATAAGTCCCAAATAAGTTGTTTATGTTATATTTAATATAAAATTCATAATATTATGTGAAAAAGCGTGAGAGAAAAAATAATATTTAGATATTTATTTATTTTGTTATTATCATTTTATGGTTCATGTTTTTTTAACATGAAAAACTTTTAAATAATTTTATTTTTATTTAATATTTAAACTTAGTATTAAATTTAAATAAAATAATATTATTAATTATAACAATATTGAATTAAATTATATTATGAAATAGCAGCCAATATTATTAAGGTCACTAAATGTTTGGACATAGACCAAAAAACCAATACAAAAAGCAGTTCTTCATTAGTGGGGCATATGGTAAAATTCTAAAATCCAGAGAACCAAAGGGAAACCAAAAACACACAAAACATAGTTCAAATTTAAACCCTGATAGAGAGGGGAACTTGCCTTCATAATACCATTTCAAGCTGTACTTTCAAACCTACACAGATAAAAGGAAAAATAGAACAAGGTCAGCTCCCAAAGTTTATCATCGGCAGGCAAAAGCAAAAATGAAAACAAAGAATCAAGAGTAGTGTTGTTCTGTCATGAAGTTGTCAAAGGTCTTCATGGTAAGTGCAATTCAAAAAAGTAACAGATAGTAAAATATAAGTTGCACAACTCACCGAGTATGCTTTCACATCAGCGTCGGTCATCTCTACGTGATCTCCTCTCACTAGACCGAGCATCATCATATGCCTCCCGCACATTACCTTTATTTTCTCGATCGTCTGCCCTGTACCTACGGCTTCCATGGTTCTCATCCTCATCCTTTCCACGACTTCTATATTTATGGTCCGGGTCATCTCTTTCTTGTTCTCTCCCTCGGGGTTCCTCTTCATCCTTGCCATGCCTTCGTCCACCTCTCTGGTCCTCATAATCCCGATTATCTCTCTTAGATCCATCATCTGGTTTGCTGATCCTGCTCTGAAGTCTGCCATCCTGTCTACCACTCTCACCGTCAAGCTCTCCTCCAGTCCTAACTGACCTAGAATAATTATCCCTCTTTCGATCATCTCTCTCCCACCTAGAATATTCATCCCTCTTCCGATCCACTTTTCCCCATCTAGAGTATTCATCCTTATTCTGGTCATCTTCCCCCCACCTAGAATATTCATAGCTATTCAAATCATCTTTCTCCCCATAATCTTTGGGAATTGATTCAGAATGGAACTTGATATCCTTCTGGTTATCCCTTTTTTGCTCCATGTCCCTTCCTAAGTTTCGACTTCTTGACTTTGATTCAGGCTGCTCGTCATGGTATTCATCATCGAACTTCCTCTTGCCCTTCAACATTTCCCTATTGTTTTCTGATTTCTGCAATCTCTCTAATCTATCACCCTCATTTAGGGTTCTTCCTCTTCTATCATCATTCTTGGCCTCAGAAGATGCAAAGTCCTTTTCTTCTTGATATCGACGACTACCTCTAGCATAATGACTGTCATCATCACCTCTATGTCCCTCTTCTGTCTTTGTCAACAGCATTGTTCTTTACAATGGTTTGATGCTTTACATCGCGTTTGTCAGAATCACCAGAGCTTCCATCACTATCATCTCTCGGGGAGACTGATCTCCTAGCAGCCCTTTCTCTTGCTGCCGTAGCCTTGCCACTTCTGCCATAGGATGAATTGGGATTTTTATCACCAGAATCATGTCTTCTACCTCCTCCCCTACCCTTCTCTACTTTTTCATCACTTTCACTAGAATCACTATCATCTTCCGTATCATACCTATGACCATGTTTCTGTACTATATCCTTTTTAGGATCTCTTGTTCTATCCCCATCAGAATCATATTCACCTTTCTTCCTTCCCCTCCTACCAGCGGTGTCAGAATCGTCCTCACTGGAATCATTCCTACGAGGACCTTTCTTAACTAATTCCTTTGTACGGTCTCTCCCTCTGTCTGCATCAGAATCAGATTCACTACCCATGTTGTCCCTCTCTCTCCTTTGACTCCCAATTAATTCATTCTTTCGTTTATGAATTTCACCTCTTTTCTTTTCCCTCTCGTCATCAGAATCAGAGCCATCCACAATGGAGTCATGCCTATTACGACCTTTTTTAGCTGTTTCTTTTTTTCGGCCTCTTTGTCTTTCAGCATCAGAATCAGATTCGTTACCCATATTGCCCCGCTCTCTCCTCAGCCTACCAAACAGCTCAATCTTTTGTTTTTGAACTTCACCTCTCTTCTTTTCCTTCACACCATCAGAATCAGAGTCATCCTCACCGGAGTCGTGTCTATTACGACCTTTCTTAGCTGTTTCCTTTTTGTAGTCTCTTGTTTTGTCTGCATCAGAATCAGATCCACTACTTGTGTTTTCCCTCTCTCTCCTCTGGCTCCCAGTCAAATCAGTCTTCCGTTTTTGAATTTCACCTCTCTCTTCTTTTCTCTCCCACCATCAGAATCAGAGTCATCCTCACTCGAGTCATGCCTATGACGACTTTTCCTAACTGTTTCCTTTTTTAGACCTCTTGCCCTATCTGAATCAGAATCTGATTCACTACCCTGCAATATTAAAGGAGAAACCAACTAATTAAAATACAAATGACATTGTGACACAGTGTCATACAAATCAGTGTATTAGCATTAAAAATGATCCACATATGTGATTGACTGAAATCATAGCTTTCAGCATGTTTAGGTCAAAATCATTCTAGAAACAGTTATCTAATCAATCAATTTTGATGAAAAATTATAATAATGTAATCTTATAATTTATTCTTTAATATACTAATACCACTATCTTATCCTTCTTGATGAAATAAGATTCCTTGAATATGTATTATGATGTGTAACACTTTACCTAATTTACTTATTTATCAAGATTTATGCAAATTAACATAGTTCGATGACTCATGGATTGCATACCACATGATTTATTCACCGAAAATTTAAAAAACTACTACAAAATTTAAGCTCAGAATAAGAATCTAAATTAAATATAATTGCATTACCTGTCTATCATTAGGTCTGCCTCTAGTGCGCTTCTTCTCTGATTTTTTTGACTTCTTTCGACTGACATGGTCATCAGAATCATTACTCTCAGTATCATAACGCTTACGACTCTTCTTGCGAGCAGTTTTCTTTGAATGCTCTACACTGCTGTCTGTATCAGTATCCGAGTCCTGATGCCTAGATCTCTTCTTTTCTTTTTTCTTTTTCCGATGTTGCAACTTGTCATCTTCATCTTGAACAGCTTGACCTTTTTTCTTGTCTGCTTTCACCTTAAGATCATTCACATCCAGTGCTGCAGAAACAGGTGGATCTCTATTCAGAAAGGAATGCTCGCGCTCATCGTCATTTTTTCGACGACTTGGCAAAGGAGGAAGCCCAGGTTCAGAAACCCCAATTCCAAGAGCAGCCCTAAAGGTCTCCATCTGCTTCTCCTTCCTCGCAGCAACTTGGTGGGTCTGAGTATCAGATAACCTAGCACCCAAAACATGAATGGTTCAATAAATACACAATAGAATCCATAATCCTCCATTAATAATAATAATAATAATCAAAGAAAACAAAAAGTTGCTAATAATCAACTCTTGTAAATCAGCTTATCCGAAACCCTAACCTCCAGAGCATGAATAAATCAATAAATGAACCCAAAAAAAAATCTATAATCACCCATTTTAAAGTAAAAGAAAACTAAAATTAAAAGAAAATTACTTTTGTTGACGAGTAGGCGTAGGAACAACTTCTCCTTCTTCTTCATCTCTCTCTTGCTCGGCATTCTCGAGAGCTTTCCTGGCCTCGACAAGCTTCTCGGCGATCTCAGATTCAGTGTAACCTTGTTCAGTGAGTTTATCTTCCAAAACCACAAGCCTGAGCTCAATCTGACGCTTGCGGTCATGCTCGAGGATTTCCTTGTTGGGTTTCTTGGTGGTGAGACCGGCGGTGCCTTGATCGGCCTCGAAAGGTCTGGTGGAATCGGTTACCCGATTCGTCTTCGGCTTTACGAAGAATTTGTTGCTCTGAATGTAACCATTGGTGCCTGACCCTCGAGGGGTTGTCAGTCCGATTCCGTTGTACATGTATTTTTTTAAAACCCTAACTCAAATTCCTGCGATTTTTTTTCCAGTTTACGATTAAGATAATAGATGTAATTCGATTTTTTTTATCAATTGAAATAAAGAAGAAGTGAAATTCAAAGGCATGAAACGGAAAACTTACAGAGATTTGAGATTCAAATCGTTCGTGCTTTGCTCTGCTTCTGGAAAATCGAGTTTGGATATAACCTAATTTAACTAATCTATTTAATCTATATAGATGTGCTTGAGAAGCGAAACGACACCGTGGGCGTCACAGATGTTTAATATGTCAAATGGTCCCTAAAACAGGTAATTCTTTTCATGTTAGTACCTAAACTAGTAAACTTTTTAAGTACTTTGATATTTGTACTTGAATTTTTTTTTTCAAATTTATGTTGATATGATACTTTAATATCCAATCAAGTTAATATATATATATTCTTAAGTAAAATTATGTATGAATTTTACTTTAAAAAATTAAATTAAATTTTAAATCAAATGATAGATATAGAACATATAATGTTTAAATTAAATTCAAATGAGTGAAAACACGATTTAATTGGACTCATAATGATCCATGCATCTTAGAAAAGTATAGATATTAGTCTCATATTATGGTATTAAAAAAAACCTTAAAATTTGAAAATTATAATATTACATATCTTTATCATACATAAATTTTCTCACAATCATTATTTCTTTGCAAATATTTTCTTAAAAACCAAGAAGATATAAATAAACCTATAGATATCTGTTAATCTATTTTTTAAATATTTATTTAAAGAAAATACTTTTATAGAAATAAATCCTTTGTTTTGTAATTTTGTTTTGGATAAACAACACTGCTGATCTATTTTATTTTAAATCGTTTTAATTTGATCATCGATTCTGAAAGACAAAATAGTTTTGCTCACTTATATTTTCGGGTTATAATATTTTGATCATTCGGATGTTAATCTCCACTAAATTATTGACATGACATATTAACAAAATTATTAATTTCTAATTTTGATCCTTAAATTATTATGTTAAATGTATTTCACAGATAGTAACTATATCTAAAGACTGCATATAGCAGAAATTAAGAAGAAGAAAAAACATATAAATAAAGTAAAACATAAGGCATGAAGAAGATAAATTGATAGCTAAAACTTTTCATTAATTTGATATCGTAAGTCTTCTATTAACATCGACCCTTTACAGTTTTCATTTAACCATACAAGTTTATCAACATAATAAGATGAATGGCAGCTTAAACTATCCCTAGAAATTTGCTAAAAGTTATAGAATAATGGGGTTGGGTGTAGAGTGCTTAATGTTACAGGGTATTACTTTGTTAAGTTATTATTATTAAAAATTATTAAATAGTCATTTAATTATTTATATATTTTAAATTCGTATTTTTCTGTTAAAAAATAGACTGTCATTTGAGTTGAACATTAATTTGCTGAATGTGATATAATAAAATCATAATTTAATAACATGTACTTGCACTACCGTTGCTTTTTAGTACTAGCTTGATAGCATAATGTTTCAAACATTGATTCGATGACATAATATAAATTGAGACTCTATTTACAAAATACAACTCAAACAGTTCTTAAATCAAATATTTATCATATCATAGTGAGTAAGTTAACGTACGACTTAGACGATTGTCCATTTTTTAACGAAAAAAACGAGTTTAAAACATATGAAGTTGAGTGACATTTTCATAACTTTCGGTAGTGGGAAATTCAACAAAGTAACACCCTATAGTCGGGATCATTTGTATATTTTACCTCAAAGGAAAAAAATATATTTTTTATACAAAAATATTATATTTGAAAAACTTTATTTGTATGTCTGATGTTAATAAATTTTAAATTTTTTTGAGCAGGTACTAACCTATGATACTTAAGATTAAAAAAAATATTAGAACAAATTATATATTTTTACCTTTAATAACCACAGTGAACAGTTTGGGCCTTTCACCGGCGGGTACCCAACTGCTTATGGAATCCATAATCCCCGAGAATTATCTAAAACCCTAAAAACATCGAAACGCTTAGAATCTCAAGCAAATTATCTCCGACCAATCGACAGGCTCTTTTATACTCATTCTAACCCGATGAGACCTCATTTCAATTCGTTTCCCCATCCATCCCAGCAGGTAATCTTCTTTGATTCTCTCTTACATTCCTTGTTTCACTTTTTTTGTAATTGGAATTTGATTTTCAATATTTTAAAAAGAATGGTTTTCAATCAAGTTCTACGGTGGGAAATCAGTGCAATAACAACATAAACATGGTTATGATGCATCCTCAAATGGGTATTTTTAATCCTCAGTTTCCAATTCCACTGAATAATAATAATCCCAGTGTTATGCCATTGCTAAATAATGTTGGATTCATGAGTGGAGCTAAACAGCAGTTTCCTACACCAAATAACAATATGGGTTTCCTCAAGTTGGTCCAATTTTACAAAATCTGAACAATCTTTCAATGGTACAACAACTTGCTGCTCAGTTCAATAACCCTCTGCAGAATCCGAATTGGTTGAATTTGCCTCAGCAAAATAATATTGCTTTGACAAATGGGCAGCAACAGCAACAGCAACAGCTTTTTTTACAGAATCATTTGCAGAATATGAACAAACTTTTGAATGCTCAACTCCCTGATCTCTCTCAGCTTGTTTCTGGTGGTCAAGCAATGGGGTGTCTCAATCCATCTGCTGTTCAGATTCCACATTTCGGGTTTATGCAGCCAAACCTGATGCAGCAGCAAGCCACTCAGGGTCAGCAAAATTTAGCCGATGTTAATGCATCGAATTTGCCTTCTGCAGCAGCTTCACAAGCTCAAGGAGACCCTTCTTTCAGAAAGCCGATGGTATATGTTTTTACCCCTTTACTGTTTTAACATTGTGCTAGGGGCTAGAGCTGGGTACATACTTCCATTTTTTATTAATGTTAACTCTGAATTTGGTTTGAGAAAGTCTGATTGCCTTTGGTAGATTAAAACATCTAATTTAGAGATGCCATTCTTTCAAAGGTTTCTGCGAATTTTGAAGAACATGCTTACACTACTTGGAAATACTCATTCAGCTGGGAATATTTTTCTCAATCGTATATGCTAATCCTTTTCCCTACACAGAACTTCTCAATATGCTTTGTTGTCATTTAATATGAAAGTTCCCTAATTTTTAATATGGAAATGGTTGATATATGGTGTTAAATTTTCTTTCCACAATGTTTTTAGTGTCTGTTTATCTTTTGTTTTGGTTTTTGAAATTAATACAAGCCTTTTATATTCTTGAAGGGATATCATGGTAAAAATGGCCAGAACAAGATCAGTTTTTCAGGAAGAAATGCTAAAAGGGATTCAAATTGGGGGTTGGTACTTTAAACATATTTTGGTTTCTAGCTTCACTTCGTGGAAGACTTCAATTTTTTGCATTTTATACTGCTGAAATTCAAATTGTGTAGAATTCGAAAGTCTAAGTTCCAGCAGTCTCGGTTCCATCAAGCTGATAATGCGAAGAGAGCATTTGCATCTTCTAATGGACATAAGGAAAAAGGTTAACCTTTTAATGAATTTCAAAGAACTTAAATGTGTTGGATGCATTTGGCTGTGGATAAATAGACAGTTTTATCTGTATATTTTATTTTGTCATAAAGCATAAAACTAAAAAGATTAAAAAGAAGAGAAAAAAAAAAGGTTGTTTGAAATTTGCATTATTATTATTATTTTTGAATAGTATGGGGTGGTTACAAGTTAATATTTGTTTATAATCTTTTTTTGCCACTGATAGCGCGCGCACACACCCTACAAACACAGTTGTTCGAACCTGGGAGGCTCGGACCTCAAGGGTGAACAACACTCCCCTTAACCATTGAGGCTACCCAATGGGTTCAAAATCATCTGGCATGTAGCACGTGTGGAATCGATTATAAATGAACTGATTTAAGTTACTTAAAAAAAAAATTGGGACAAGTTGAAGATCATTGTGAAAAATGGGAGAAGGGGGTTGGTCAAATTTGCTCTTGTTAAAATCTAAAGTCTTGATTTCTTAATCTTTCACAGTTAGTGCATGGTCTAATGAATGTGATATGAAGTTTGTTCCCTACTAGTAATTCTGGTGATCTGATTGAAAATAAACTGCAGGTATTGGGTGGAACCAGAATTTCTTTGGCATAGTGAAATAGGGTTTAAGGTTGGAAATCCCAGCTAGTCACAGGTTTCTAGAAATAGAAAAGGATATGCAAGGTGTATATTGAGTGTTCGATGGAGTTTGCTGTAGTGTTAACTGTTGTGTTAATCACTATGTTTCAGGCTGACTTATATGTTTTATTTAAAAATTAAGTTTAGCATTGCAGAAAAAAGTATGAAGGTTTTCTGTTTTTCAGACAAGTCGGTAAATGTTTAGAAGTTTAAATAACCAAGACCTTAAGCAATCTGTCTGGGTTTGGGTCACTGAAGTATAAAATTGGTAGAGCTAGAGCAGTTGTGAGGTTTAAATTCTTTTCTATTGATTGGAAACTAAAGAATCCAAGAAAGGGTATTTGAAAATATAGTTCGATTTTTTTGAATTTACATATGAATGCCAATGTATATGTCTAGACATTTATGTTTGAGATGAATTACTGATTCGTCATCATTTATTTATGTTTGAGATGAAATTTATCTATTCTTTTGTTTTATTTGTTTTTTGCTACTAGATTCTTTTGTTTCTTTTGCATAAAAGTTCTAATTTCTCCTCACCTTGGGTAAAAATAACAGGGCAGGATAATGAGAGGGCAGCTAATTTTTCTCATTTTAATTTAGCAATCCCGGCTAAGGAAAAGAGAAGGTAACTTCTGTTTGCTAATACTCATTTAACATAGTTTTGCTTGTCAGATATGAAGAAAACTTTTGCTTCTTGACAGTGATGTTCTCTTGAGAATAATATCATGATAACATGAGTTGTTTATTTTGTTGAAACTGCTTTTACAAGTGGTGGTTAGCCATGATTATTGTAATGATGGTTACAGTTGGAATCATTCTATGCAATCGTGTTAAAAACCATTAGTTACGCAACTAAACCCTTATGATTCCATTTTGGCGAGTTGCTTAAGTTCTTTCTTGTATAAGGTTGAATTATTGAGAATTGGTCAATTTAACATGTCCATTCGAGGCCCTAAACGTCCAGGGACAAAATCCCACTTTTTGCATGATAATGGAACTAGGAATGCTGATGCTCTATTGGTTTACAT